GAAAACGTTCGGGAGACACTTTATCATCCCTGGAATTTTGATTCCATTTATGATAATGCTCATTTTGGGATTGGCCGTTTGTGTTACGGTGCGTAATCATAGAAAGCGTTTCTCGACTTTCTTCGCCGTAAAGATTCGAATCGAAAACGACGTTAAGACTGCGAAAACAATTGGCTTGACTGTATTGGCATATTTCTGTATGAATGTGATACCAATGTTATTACACAACATATTGAGACGCCACGGTAGCTGGCCTCACTTTCTTGCGTTCTTTCTCATGAAACTGAACAGCATGGTGAATCCTATCATTTACGCTTTGAAGGCTCCAAGGTAGGTTGGTTCAGTCTGTGAGGTTTACGGTTAAAAAGGTCTTTTAGGAATTTTGAGGAAGGCACTTAATTCCAATGTTTACGAAGACTCTCGCAAAATTAAACCTTTTCTTAAACCTGTATACCTACATTGAAAAATCCTGTTTTGGTAAAGCGGAAGAAGACACCTGTTGTCAGATATGTTCCTTTCTTTTTCTAAAAACTATGGCTACAAACGTGTTTTGAGTGAACGTCGCACCACGTTTGTAAACCTATAGTGTTTTCACGGTACCAAATGCTCTCTTTTCTTAGTTTGCGTAGATAAGACATTTGCTTTTGCTCCTTTTTTCCGTTTTGGCATATCTTTTAACTACCAAGCTGATATTGCTCAGCGTCAGGGGCCTATAATGAACCATATAATGACAACTAAAAGAATGGTGCAAAAAAAAAAAAAGAAAAGAATTTCGACGAAAAAAACTTGCCTTTGCATTTACATTTTTTAGCCGTTTCTTAGCCGCTGTCCGTGAAAACAGACGAGAGTAACCTCAGCTTGTGTACTTATGTTGTCAACAGGTTACGCAGAGCTCTGGCCCTCTTATTAAAGGAACCACGGGGCAAGTCAGAACCCAATATGAACTCGAAGATACTCAACAACCTCAGCTCAACAGTTAGTAATTTGACCTTGAAGACGGAAGAAATTTACATCGAGGACACGAAACTTTAATTTCCAATGTTTTTTTCAGGCAATCCAATCTTACTATCACCAATCTTGACCAGGGGGAGAAAAGGAAAGTGCTTCCACAATTGTGATGAGATTTTTAGCGCTTCTTCTTTTTTGCGAAGAAGGAATTGGCTTCACAGTTGCATTAAAAGGAAGAGAGACAAAAATGTTAATTAAATTGATATTAATTGAAAGTATTAACAATAATGGCACAAAGCAGCGAACTGAAAATGTTTTAAATAAAATGCACTAAAGATTAAGGGGTGAGCAGGTACCAGTATAAGAGAAATTGATTGCAACCTAACCTAGATAAAGAAAACTTTGCATAAAACTAGCTACAGGAGTAGAATTTTACGAATACATGTAAGTTAGCTGCGGGTGGGTTAACTATGCTTTAGTATTGAGGGAATATCCAGTGGGATACAATTCTAGATATGAGCAATTTGATGAAAGCTAAAATCAAAAACATTTTTGAGGTAAGTCCCTCTTTAGAAATCTCATAAAGATGCCGCAGAGAGTAAGGTTCCCTGTCTAAATAAAAAATTCATGTGGGCGTAGACAGATCATTTCAGAGAGGAAACACTGTTTTTCTAGGTGGTTTACGCAACAGCCATCTGATTTAAAAATGAAACTGAAGGCTTTTGCTAGCCCTAAAGAGTGACCAGACTATAGGTTTGTATTCTTACTCCATTCGGACCAGGATGCAAAATAAGCTTTTCGAGGCTGTTTTACCTGACAGGCTTCTGAGAGTTCGTTTGGTCAGGCCTGGCATTTTATTTCGTTTCAACCGGCGACGCACTCAGCGATTTTACTCGCCGTTCGCCGCGATCGACTACAATCATCTAGCGAGCCCGATGTAGCGATTGCAATTTTCACCGATTGCCGACTAAATTGCAGATATCGGCGATTTTTCACCGTCTATCAAGTCACTGATCTCAGTCACCTCCTCAAGTGGACTCCACAAAAGTTAATAAGTTATCCCTTTCCTTTTTTTCGCATCAGTTTATATTTTCGTCAGTTGAAACTCATGCACCTCGGCTGACTCAAGTGGTACAAGTTGTTTTGGTCGCTTTGAAATTCTTCGTTATAGTTTTATACTGGATATTTCAGGAAGTCTGGCAGTTATTCAATATAGAATGAGATAGGATTCCTACTTGAAATTGCCTCTGCCAAGTCACTTATTATATAACAAAATCTAATGGGCCCAAATTGGATTCTTGCAGAGTGCCAGATGATAAAGCCTTTATCATCAACTAGGACCATTTTTGTTTGTTTTCGCGACAACACACAAGAAGAGAACGAAAGTTAAGATTATGTTGCAAAGCGTATGAAGCAACTAAAAAAAATTTCGAAAAAAGCCTTAATTAAGACTTTTGTTCTGCCCTACACTTGTTCTATTTAGAAGAAACGATTTTTGAGCCAAGAGTTCATGGTTAGCCATAATTTGAATTATTTACCTGCAGTTGGTGTCTGATTCCTCATTTTCTTCGGGCGGTTTTGACAATTTAAGTATTATCTTTTAAAGAATCAACGAGGTGGAGCCTTTGAGGATAATGCACAGAAATAATTTTTGATATTACGTACTGCGTCAAGGACTTATCATAAATGAGTCATTCGACGTTTAGAATCCGCTAAAAATAGTTAAAGTGCTAACAGTGCTATTGCTCAAAGGAGTAGTTCTGTGAAAGAGTTCATTGAGAAATGTACTAGTGTTCTTCAGCTGACATAGTCTTAATTGACCTCAGGTCTATTGAGCTTGCCAGAATTGACAGGTGAAGAAATTGTAGTAAGCATATTCGGTTACTCGTTTGCAGAATATGAATTTTTCAAATTTAATTAGCGGCGTTAAATAGTTGCCAGCAATTACTCCATAATTAAGGGAAAGAAACGTCCAAATTGTATTGAACCTTACATCATTTGCCTTATCTGTCCAGTTATCGACATGGTACTCAAACTATGTCACCAATATTGCTATTGTTTATGCTGCATTGGCATAGAACCCAGTATAATTGAAAAATTAAACGAGAGTTACCTGTAAGTTGAAGTTTGATTGGAATTCTATCGAGTCATCAAACTGCACCAAGGGATCACATGAGATAGCTAGACGCATGCGCATAATCAGTATTTACAGCCGAATGTGACAGTCTGATCACC